ACCGTTCGGAGCAACTCCAATCAAGCCTTTCAATGTATTTCTGTGCTTATATGAACTGCCCCAAACAGCACAGTACGTCTTAAGTACGTACAGTTTTGGTACTGTACGTACAGGACGTAAAATGTACGTTTTAAGTACGTACACAATAGTACGTACCAGTACGTACAGAAAAGTACGTACTAAGTACGTACCTAAATGTACGTAATCCTGGTTGCATACCTATTTTATTAAAAAACCTATGCTTTTACCAAATTTCTGTTGACCGTAGGCCAAAAGATGCAAAGAAAAAAAGACGAAATCCAATTTATTTAACCTAACCTAAACTCTAAACTAAACTCGCACGTTTTTTTTTTAAGTGTTGCAGGCAACCACGTTTTAACAGATTGTTATTGTTAGTTTTTCATGTTTAAGGATTTAACTATTAAGTGTTTCATTAAATAAATAATTGTGTATAATTTATTATAATTGAACAAGACAGTTCTTTAGACTTTTTAGTGCGTGTTATACCTAAGTACATAGTTTCGTCATTTTATTCTGGTGAGTGGTTTCATTTTAATTTTAAAAAATTATGTGTAATAAATATAATTTATAGATATGTCATCCCATCCGATAGTAAACATTACAAAGATGCTACAAAACAATTAAAAAAGTTTAAGGAAATGAATAAATATTTTAGAGAAAAGAAGTGATATTTTATAGACCCTAATAATTTAATTTTGGATTTTGTCAAAAGGAGTATTGCTGGTGCCTTAATAACTAATAAGCTAGCAACAAATTATAATTGGCTGCAGTTGAAGTGGGTAAGATGTTTTAATTTTTTATTTTTGCATGCCAGTTATCATAAAGTCATTGCATTAAAACCTCTCAATCCAGTCAAAATTATTTTTGTATCTAATGAAATTGTGTTCTTCCAACCATTGGACTTCAAAACTGACGTCGATATAGCTTAACAAAAAGAAATATAGGTGTTCCGATATTATAGAACAGTGGCAGAAACGAATTGGTTTTCAAAGGCATAAGGCCAAAACAGGTGGATACAAATGAGAGAGGTTTAGATTCAGGAGTATATTGACAATGATAATTTTGAACTGTGGAAACTATTGCTTACTTTACATCTTTTTGTTGTATTGTTTTTATTAAATTGTTTATTATAAAAAGTACCAAAGTTAAGTTTCTAATTTGATATTATTTCTTTGCAGAAGGTTCTATAAAAAGTAGCAAATGGAAAGAGAAGAAGTTTGTAGAACAGGAAAATTGTGAGATGGCTAAGAAGAGCTGATGATCGCCTAAAAACTTTCAAAAAGATAGCAAAACAATTTAAATTATTCTTTTAATGTAAAAAATTAAATAAATACAAATTAACTTGTTTACTTTTCTTTTTAATGCACTAATACGTACATTATACATCATAAGTAAGTACCAATAAGGATGTAAAGTACGTCTAAAATATGTACTCTATTGGAATAAGTACGTACATTAAGTACGTACACAGTATGTACATTAGGTACGTACAGAGTACGTACATGAGGTACGTACAGAGTACGTACATTAGGTACGTACAGAGTACGTACTTTAAGTACGTACTAGGTACGTACCGTCGTTTGGAAAATGTACGTATTATGTACGTACTATGTACGTACTTCGTACAGTAAAGTACGTACATGGTACGTACTTTACGTCCCATCAGTACGTACATAGTACGTCTTATGTACGTAAGTGTGTTTGCTGGGTGCACATAAGTTTTTGTTTATCCATTTTTTTTGGTTGGTTACAATAAATTTCTGTACAATCCAAAATAATTCTACAGTTGGTGAAATTGTTAAAACATGTTGGCATACATAATTTATTTTGATTTCTACTATGACTTTTATTCATTATCTTTTTATATAATATTTCGTGTAAAGCAATTAACCATGTGCAAAAAATGTTAGCGATTGTTTTGGCAGAAATGTTAAACCTAACAGCTAAATCTTCGTTAACAAGATTCAATTTTAATTTCATTAATGTTAATAATAATTGGTCAATTTTCTCTACATTAACAACAGTCCAACCTTGATAATAACTCAATGACATAGAATTCAATAATTTGAATACAGTCATAAATATATCCTTTGAAGGTAATCCTGTATAAACAACAATTTGATCATCACTATTTTCGATTTGTGCAAATGAAAAACTCGATGTTAGTTTGTTCAGTTTTTCATGTGCTTCCTTAAGCTCTTTCTTTAAAAAGTAATTCAAAATTTAAAAATATGTAATTCATTAAAGTAAATATAATAATCCATGCAGGATCTTCTTACTTTGCTTTTTTTGATTTTTGTTGGACAGTTGATCCCTCATCAATAAAATGTTTCTTCAATTTATTATGTTCAAAAATTGTTGGCCTATTTTTTCTATCACCATCTATAAAATGGCAAGAACAAACCAAAGAGTGTGCTGAAGGTTCTCTATCCTTGCGTCTAAAAATGATTAAAAATTAATAAAACATCCAGATTTATCATTTAAATATATTTACCTAATTAATGAAATCCATAGCTTTTTCTCTATAGAATCTTTTGGAAAGCCGAAGAATCTACAACCTTCTCTTTCACTGTAATGTTTACAATCTGGCGCGAAACACATTACCATTTTAACTGTAAAAACAAAACACAAATATAAAATTATTATCCTAACCTAGCTTTACTAATTTTGTCAAAATTTAATGTTATATTCACATAATAGACCTAATATTACAACAAATATGTAGTAAACCAATATGTCAAACGTACTTACGGGTACAAAAATATCAGAATAGCTACTAAACAATATTTTAAAAATCTTCTTATGACACAATGAATGCTAATGAAAGTTTGTTTGGAAAGTAACCCCTGACCTTCATAACAAAATGGCAGTTGATTACGTCATACTCCTATCGTCTATTGGGATCTAAAATTAAGATCGCAGCGCCGTCTGTACTTGACATTTAAACTAAATGTTGTGGCTTGTTATTGTTTACATTTTTCAGTTTGTAAACAGTCCATAAAAAGTATTTTGTTTATATTGTGCTATTTTAAGGAAAACATATTGTTGTTGTTAATTTTTAGTGATTAGACACTTTTATTTCAATAGTTTTTAGGTTAAAGTAAAAGATATATTTTTAATTGGTAAGTAACCCCCTATTAATTTTGTTTTTGAGTTACTTTCTTTCATTTATATTAATATAAGATATTTGTCTTATCTTTTAATAAAATATTAATATATTAATTCTATTTTTAGTGAGATGTCTGAAATAAGTCTAAGTTAAATAGAAGTTATGAAGTATTTATGTAACTTTTATTTATATTAATAATTTGTATTTCAATTATTTGCTTCATATTTTTAAATTTTTACTATTGTATTGTTATAAGTTTTATTTATTTATATTTTGTCATATTTTTTGTCACACACAATCTGTCATTGTACTTTGTACAGTGAGCAGATTCAGTGACACATTTCTTGTTTATTTACATTTTATTTCCTATTGGATTTTATTTTATTGTATCTGAATGTATATATTGCTGGTAAATAAACATTATTATTATTATATATTATATATATTGGTGGAGGTGAAAATTCTAGGACTGTTATTGAAGAAGAGGCTATTTTAAATGCAGGCCATATACTTTTTATGTGGAAGAATAAATCTAGTGATAAACATATCTGTACCACAGAGGTACAAAATCGTATAACCAATTTTATAGATTTAGAGATAATGAGGTTTAAAATTTTTAAAATATAATAATTATTTTTTTTATAGAAATTAATAAAATACAACATTTTATTTTTTTAAGTATTTATTCAAGTAAGTCAATCGACGTATTTTACCTTACAAATGCCAATAAAAATATCTACCTGGTTAGAATTAGTGGCACTTGCGATTCTTTACCACTGAATAAAAAACAGGTAAGTGTTAAAAAACTTAAGCCTTAACTCCAAAAAAATATAGGAAATATTACGAGAAAAGGTTTTAATGATTATAATTCAGTTTGTATCAGATTTTCTAACTTCCTGATCGGTTATTCTCATGTTTTTATAAAAGTCATGAAATTGAGAAGGTATCCACTCAAATAAATTCAAAAGATGTTGATGTTTTTTAGCGCTTATACCTTTGGAAATTTTCCAAATTGCAGGCACCTCATGTGGAATAGAATTTTTTTTTGGGAAAATCTATTCAAATCAACACTTTTAAATTCGTTATCGGTAAAGTCTGTTTTATAATAAAGCAGACCTGAACTTTTACGACGTACTTCTAGCCATACTGCTGATGAAATAAGAAAGTTTTCTTTTTCTGTATTGATTTTTCGATTAACAAATGGGGCATTTGAAGATGTGTACAAAAGATAAAAATTTTTGAAATCAGTTACTTCCATGTTCCAAACTGTAGCCCCAGTTGATCTAATCAACTGTTGCCAATCCCAAGGTGTAGCTGTCGTCATTGTTGGCTGCTTTTTTACGGTCCGCTCAATCAGAGCGTGAACATGGTCTGCTTCCATATGAGTATGACCCCTGAGAAGAAACTTATGTATTACTCATTTCAAGGAGGGACAACTATTCAAAAGATAAAAATAGTTTACAGCCATCATGATATTTCGATTTTGGCTTGGGCAATTGTCAGACCAAATTATCAATGTCTCTGTGTGAGAGTCTTTCACAACTTCGTTGGTCCATTTTAACAAAGCCGATGCAATTTCATGCCCCCTTCTTCCAGCAACAGATTCATCCCAAACCATGCAATACGCTTTTTTTTCTGTGGCGTCATATATGGTTAAATTTAAGGTCCAAAGCTTCAGTGAATAAAAACTTTTAGCGTTGGTTAGATGGGGAGTTGGTAAGCACTTTTGTAAATCTAACATGATAACCTTAGTTTTTTCTCCCGCCGCTACTTTATCTTGTTTCTTCCAGCTATAGTGAATTTCAGCATCTTTTAGGGACAATCAAATTTTTTCTTGAATGGTTGCTCGTTCTTCTACTGAGGGACTTTCTTATAATGCCATTTTCAAACTATTGCACATATCACAAGTGTCATTCGAGAGTAGTTTAAATCCTAAATTAAACTCTGTATTGAAGATATGGCGATATATCCAAGGTTTGGCAATCTGACTCTTTGGAAGATCTTCTTCCTCACATTTGAGTTTGTACATACTGAACATTTTATTTGTATTAAGTTCGCTTCCCAAGTACTTCCTTTTCTTAATTTTTTCACGACTATAGTGGGTTTCATAAACTGGAAAAGACCGAATATGAGTGCGAATCCCTTCCTTAATAACTTCAGGTAACTTATTCTTTGGTTCGTGTCTCCCGCGCATGTCTTGTGAAACAAATCCTCCTCTTTCTGATTTTTTTAATGCATTTCTAACCACTGTCTCGGATATCCCTAATGTATTCAAAAAAAACTTTGCACACATTGATAATTTGTCTATCAACTTCAAAGTTATAACGTATTGTCTGTTTTCTCTGTTCGTCTCATGTGCCAATTGACGGCCTCTTCCGTTTAATTGGAGAACTTTTTATTCTGGAAAGCACAAACTGTCGTTTGAGGTACCAACTCTTATTTTCATTCCAATAGTTGTTGAATATTTGTTCACGATTCAACTCGTTAATTTTATCGGTACATTTTTTCTACATGGGCCACAACCACGTCTTATCTTTTTTGCACTAATATTTTTCCCAGTTTGGAAACATGTTCTTTTCCAGCCAACGTTGCTTTCGTTACCTCTCAACCCTCTTCGTTTCTTGTCCGCTTTCTAGGTTTTCCTTGTTCTATAACTGGCTCAGTTTCTAAATCTAGTGGTGAGGAAATGCGTAGTTGCCCCTTATATTTAGATTAACTCTTAACACAATATCCTAATCTAAACTAAAGTGAAAACGAAACCATCTATAACTTGGCAACTAGGCATTTTCTCAGTACGGGATTTGTTTAGTCATTAGCATGACAAACGTTTCCATGGTAACAGTTTCTCTATCGGATCACGCTACGCTCCTCCCACCCACAACCTAACTACTACAGAGGAAAGCGAGCAAAGTGAGCAAAGCGAGCGCGCCTGGCCCACGTTTCGAAATTGGCGTACGCGAATTTTGAAACGTCGGCCAGGGCGTGCTCTTTTTCCACCTACATCGTAAGATCACGCGACGCTTCTCCCACCCACCTCTTAACTACTACAGAGGAAATCGAGCGAATCGTGCGCGCCCGGTCGACGTTTCGAAATTCGCACGTGCGAATTTCGAAACGACGGCCGGACGCGCCCTTTTCCACCTACACCGTAAGATCACGCTACACTCGTTCCACCCCCCTACTAACCACTACTTTGCAACTACGCATTTCCTCACCACGAGATTTGGAATTTTGTTTAGTCGTTAGCATAATAAGCGTTTCCATGGCAACAGTTTCTTCATAACTAATTTCGGCTAAACTAAAGTGAACATTAAATATTCTTTAACTTGGCAACTATGCATTTCCTCACTGCCGGATTTGCATTTTTGTTTAGTCCTTAGCATGACAAGCGTTTCCATGAAAACAGTTTTTCCGTAACTGATTTCGGCTAAACTAAAGTGAGCATTAAATGATCTATAACTTGGCAACTACGCATTTCCCTACTACGATATTTGGGTGTTTGTTTAGTCGGTAATATGACAAGCGTACCCATGGCAACATTTTTTGCATAACTTATTTCAGTTAAATGAAATTAAACAAAAACCGTAATCATCTACAACTTGGCAACTACGCATTTCCTCACCATAAGATTAGGGTTTTTCTTTACTTATAGCCATCACAATTGTTATTATGACAACAGTTTTTGCATAACAGATTTCGGCTAAACGAAAGTTGAGCCATATTCTCATATGAATTTTTCTCTAGACATGGAAATGCGTCTCCATCTAATTTAGTAGTTTCTTTTAAGGATTTATTTAAACAATTCTTAGCAAAATGACCTATTCCGTGGCATTTATAACATTTTCTGACACGTTTTCGCCACTTTTTAATTTCCTTATTATGATTTGCAGTCCTTTTCATAACCAAAGCAGATGCTGACTCTCCTTGTGAAGATTTTTCAGGTAAACTCTTCTCTATCAGACGCAGACGTTCAGTAAGCTTATTGATGTTTCTTTCATCAATTGGGATCGACTCCCAAACGGATTTAAACTCAAAGTATCCCGCTGGTAGTATAGACATAACTCTACTCATTAACAGCAAATCTGGCAGAACAGTCTTAACTAATCTTTTTAATTCGTCATTGAGCTCCGTAAAATTTCTCTGAAGATGAGAAATGTGGGTTACTATATCGACACTAGGGTTTATTTGAAAAGTAAAAAATTGCTCCATTAAACGATCAAGACGTTGTCCCGAACTCTGTTCATATGCTGATATAAGTTTTTCCCAAATTGAATTTGCACTATCATACGTTGAAGTTTGTTGTAACTCCTTAGGATGAATTGTAAAGGAGATTGAGAGACCATTCGAAATTAAAAATATATTTGATAGCTTTTTTAACATTGACATTCGACTACTAATATTTTATATCTATATTTGCACATTGCCGTGCAACACCTAACAATAACAAGGGATACTACAGTCTCCCACACTAATTTAATTCTAACTTCTAACATAATAAATGAATAACTAAATAATTTGAAAACGTTGAGTTTCGCGACGGATTCTCTTTGATCGTCTGAGTTCAGGCCGCTGATGGATTTCCGTGCTTCGCTGATCAGACGATTCCGATTCGACATTGTTGCCAGCTCGGTGTCCTTCATATTGGTTGCCGTTATAGCTGGGGTCAAGTGGTTGGCAAGTTTGCGCGTGCAAAAACTGCTGAACTTGGTCATGGTATTGGGGTGACTCATTTTCATAAACCTGGGGCCCAATTCCTGAAACTATGCGTTGAACGCCGCATTCGACTAGCGACGCATGGTCGCCACCGCATGCGACGCAAAATCTGTATTCTTGACTACCCTTCGTTAGGATAGTTTTGTGTCGCATGATGTAACGAAGAGTCTTTAATTATTGCAGTAGTTCAATCGTTTTAAACCAATAAAATTTCAGAACGTCATAACAAAACTGCATTATCGACTGAAAAATGTCAAAAAAAAAATTCTTTTGCGAGTGTCTTTGTGTAATCTCTTTTATTATTAAACTAAATTCTTTGAAAAATTTGAGTAGTGTTTTGATAATGGAGATTGAAAATGAAAAGAAAAGCTTCAAAATTAGCGAGCAACAGAGAACAGCTTTAATAAATTTTATGAAAGATCACCCGAATTTAGTTAGTGGCAAATTTACAAATCATTTCACTGCTACAACAGCTAAAAATTTATGGAAAGAATGTGAAACCACACTAAATAGCATAATAGGGGGGAAAAAAGATTGGAAGCAGTGGAGGAAAGTAAGTATTTTTATATTTTTATCTATAATTTAACGATATATTGATTTTATTAACATTGTAGTGCTGGCATGATATCAAATCAAAAACAAAGTCTAAACATGCCAGATTAAGAACTCACCAAGGTGGAACTGGTGGCGGTCCCGCTACACCAGAAATATTATCTAATTGGGAAGAGAATATAATAGATATAATGTGCCCAACTGCTAGTACAGGGCACCCAGGAACTTTAGAGTCATCCATTGTTTTTGTAAGTATTTTATACAAATCACTAGTAAGAAGGTGATTAAGAGGATTATTATTTTTAATATTATTTATTATTGTTGTTAAGATAGAAAATACATGTTTCTTAAATTGTGATTTTTTATTTTCATGTAGGATCTTCCTCTTTTACAACATAATACTCCTGAGATATTAGAAAACAGTAACGCTCAAATGCAGGAAGTTTCTCAATATGAACTAGAAATTGAAACGAATATAACTAATCCTGTACAGATAGAGAATAGAACACTAAACAATATAAAAGGTAATATTGTAGAAAATACAATCAAGCTATTATTTATTTCAACAGTAATATTGAGCAATTAAAAGGCAACTAAAATTCGTCAATTTTGGTATCTTCTTGATTTAGATTAGTTTATAAATTTGTATAATTTTTTTTAGAAAAAAAAGTTACTCGGAAACAGCAACTTTCTCAATCAGTGGAAGCCACGAAAAATTTAACAGTCACGTCCAAAGAAAGAAACGAAATATTTAAAGAGTATTCACAAGAAAAATTAAATATTTTAAAGGAGACCAATAATTTAAGAAGAAGGAAATTGGAGGCTTTAGAAGAGCAAACTTCTTTAAAGAAAAAAAAAACTGGAGGCAACAAAAGAGCAGAACAAAATACTGCAAAATATAGCAACTTTGCTAAAAAATATTCTCGAAAAATAATAATGCATATATTAATAGTTGTGTGTTAAATTTTTGTTTATTTTTTAGTTTTAAAATTATTTTGTTTTTTATTTATTAGGTTTAATTTAGTTATATTGTTGTTAGTTGTTCCTGTAATTACATTAAAAGCAAAATACAATACATAGTAATATTAATTTATTTAAACAAAGTAGTTTTCAGTTATTTTAATTATTCATACGCCTTCCAATTTTAATCTCTAAAATGTCCATTTATCACCAATGTTTGTTTCCTTCTTCCTGCTTTCAGATCTGGATTAATTCTTCTTTGGTTTCTAATACGTTGTCCTGGCTGTTCGTCAATAAAATTGTCGATACCAAAATCCACATTTTCCAGTTCCTCATCTAAATCTGGTTCTGGAATATTATGATTTATACACATATTGTGTAACACCACACATGCATTTATTATAAGTGATGCTTTGTCCGGGGTATAGTGCAATACCCTGTGCTTCAGTAAACATCTAAATCTCATTTTGAGTACACCATTACATCTTTCAATGATGCTTCTCGTTGATTTGTGGCAAGCATTATACCTGTATTCATTTGTGTTGGGAGGAGGTTCAACCTCTGTAGGGGTTAGAAGCCAAGCCCTGAGGTAATATCCTGAATCTCCTAAAAATAAATATAAAATTAATTAGATTATGAAGACATATCTAGAATTACCTAGAATTTTGAATTCTTCCTCATTCATGACGAAAACGAAAGACGAAAGAATGGAAGATGGCTGAAGAACATTCATGTCAAATATCACTTTGACCTACAGTGATTAAGAACTTAAATCTAAAAAGACTATTCAGTAGCTAATTATTATTATCATCCTGATTTACTGATCAAAATCTTTTTGATTGTAGTATAGAAATAGTAATCGGCTAAAAATGTTTCTAAAGTAGGCCATGACCGACAAAGACAGAGATACGAGTCATGACCGTGATAACTACGCATGGTTCTGAATTAAGACCAAGCGTGAATTTCTCCAAGATCTACTTTAGAAACATGTTCTGTGGTTCACTCCATACTGTACCTAATAAATGGTAACCATTATACCCCATTTGATGTAACCTTTCCATAGCTACC